TGCTCAACGATCAATCCAATGTCTAATCCAGAAATTCCTTCGCTTTCTTCACAACGGATCGTGTTATTTCGTTCGGGGTGAGGACTTGATGGAAGTGCCTCCACACCGTCATGCATGACGCCTTGGTATTCTTGGAGGTCGCTTAAAAGCCCGTCTTTCAAAAGGGAAGCGTAGGAGTCTGACTGACCGTCTAGTAACATGAACCCATCTCCTGGACGTTTAGCTGGCTTTGTAGACAGTTGCCTACATGGCCTTGCTCTTTTTCGATTTCTTTCAAGCTGAGGTTCAGAAGAAGATGGTGCGTGCCCATCCGAAGTAGTCCCTTGTGATGCAACATCTTCGGAACGCTTTGCATAAGGTCCGCGTTTTTTAAGAACCCAACGACTCTTGCTTTGACGCCCCATCTGTGACAGTTTCGACCAGGTCCGCAACTAGAAGTGGGGCTGCAGTGAAGTTTGGCATGGACCTCGGCATTAACAAGATTTCAGCAAGCTTACTGCTCTACAGCCGAAAGAAGGTCTTTTGTTACATTTGGCGATGCATACGGTTGTGCCGTTAATATTAAAGCTTGGTTCAATGAATAGAAACGGTAAAAAGGATATGCTCCTACTCGCATTTTGATGTGATGCCGCATGCAAAAGCTCAATGAATGGCTGTCGTTGAGGACAGCCATGCCATACCGAATTCGGTAATTTCAAATTGAGATTTCAGTACGACACGTGCCCATGAACAGTTTGAAATATCTAGCTACCGGTTTTTTCTGAACACTGCATATATGTATGCAGCAATATAGTTCCAGGACCAGATCCAACTCTCTGCACGCCCGTCGTCCGCAGTCTTGATCCACCATGCATCCCGTTTTCTGACAGTTTCCTTTCTGCGAGTTGCGTGTTCGGTTGAGATATCATCCACACAGTAAGTGAAGCTACTTCTCCCACAGTCTTGACCCACAACGCATCCGTTTCTCTAACAGTTTCCGTTCTGCGAGTTGCTTGTCTGTTTGAAATATCATCCGCAGTAAGTGACGCCACTTCTCCCACAGTTCTGACCCACCACGCATCCATTTTTCTAACAGTTTCCTTTCTGCGAGTTGCGTGTTTGTTTGGGATATCATCCACAGTAAGTGACGCCACTTCTCCCACAGTTCTGACCCACCACGCATCCATTTTTCTAACAGTTTCCTTTCTGCGAGTTGCGTGTTTGTTTGGGATATCATCCACAGTAAGTGACGCCACTTCTGCCACAGTTCTGACCCACCACGCATCCATTTTTCTAACAGTTTCCTTTCTGCGAGTTGCATGTTTGGTTGAGATATCATCCACAGTAAGTGACGCCACTTCTCCCACAGTCTTGACCCACAACGCATCCGTTTCTCTAACAGTTTCCGTTCTGCGAGTTGCTTGTCTGTTTGAAATATCATCCGCAGTAAGTGACGCCACTTCTCCCACAGTTCTGACCCACCACGCATCCATTTTTCTAACAGCTTCCTTTCTGCGAGTTGCGTGTTTGTTTTGGATATCATCCACAGTAAGTGACGCCACTTCTCCCACAGTTCTGACCCACCACGAGTCCATTTTTCTAACAGCTTCCTTTCTGCGAGTTGCGTGTTTGGTTGAGATATCATCCACAGTAAGTGACGCCACTTCTCCCATAGTTCTGACCCACCACGCATCCATTTTTCTAACAGCTTCCTTTCTGCGAGTTGCGTGTTTGGTTGAGATATCATCCACAGTAAGTGACGACACTTCTCCCATAGTCCTGACCCACCACGCATCCATTTTTCTAACAGTTTCCTTTCTGCGAGTTGCGTGTTTGGTTGAGATATCATCCATAGTAAGTGACGCCACTTCTGCTACAGTCATGACCCACCGCGCATCCCCGTTTCTGACAGTTTGCTTTCTGCGAGTTGCGTGTTTGGTTGAAATCTCATGCGGAGACACGAGTGCGCTGCAGACGTTTGGTAAGTGAGCGCTTTCTCTAGGCAATGCCGTTTTGCAATTACCTACAAAGCTGTAACGTAAGTTCGCACATTCTCTAACACATTGAAAGTTTCAAAGAACTGTTCTGACCAAGCCTCACAGCGTTCCTTGTCTCACTGCAGGTCAACCTGCCCGTCTTCTAACTCAGGATCAGGTAAGCCATCAGTACACCCTCCTTGGTCTATCAGAATTCCAATCCACCATCATGACGTACTGTGACCGTAACTGACCTCTCTTGTTATGTTTCTTGGCGTTGATTATTGTATTTAACGGAAGCGCAATGAACCACTGCTGCGGTATTCCGGTATTTGGACGGGGTAGATGTAGTGTATGTAGCCGTAATAATACTCTTTGGTTGCTACAAATAAATGTGATGTGAACGCCGCTGGAACCGCTATCGGTTTCATCCTTCGGGTTGGGACCGTTTCTGGACCGGCGGGGTGATATCACCTTTGCAAGAAAGGTACTGGATTAACATTTCATTGACTGAGAGTAGGTCGGAGCATTACGTCTAGTGTTGCATTGGAGCTGCGAATGGAGACATATTTTCACTGCCCTGGAGCAGCAAAACATGGTCGTCGGTGGCTGCGCATATGCAGCGATGATCACCGTCTCATCATTGCATCAATGTAAAAGCGTTTGGCCCTGCAGGACCTGCCCGTGTACAGCGCCAGCCAGCCATCTACCGCCGCAGGCCAGGCAGAGACGCTGTGCCATAACTATGCTGCTTTTCAGCCAATGGCGTTTGGCACTGCGAGACTTACCCGTGTGCAGCGCCAGCCAGTCATCTACCGCCACAGGCCAGGCAGAGACGCTGTGCAATAACTCTGCTGCTTTTCAGCCAATGGCGTTTGGCACTGCGATACTTACCTGTGTGCAGCGCCAGCCAGTCATCTACCGCCACAGGCCAGGCAGAGACGCTGTGCCATAACTATTCCGATTTTCAGCCAATGGCGTTATTGGTAAAAAATGTGCAAAATCGCGACATGAAATCAACAAGCGTTGCTACATTTATGACACATTTTTTGCTGGCCCGGACCAAAATATTTGCGCCGATTTTTTATTGCCTCCGATAGGCTGATTTGACCTTCCTGTGAACTGCTCCGATCACGACCGAGACTCCTTGGTTATTTTTCATCCATTCCAATAAGTTGCTGAGAAGGCGCTTCTGCAGATCTATCTTCTGCCCATCCGTCATTGTAGATGATAACGCTATTTGCGAAAGCGCAGCCAAAGACGAAAGCGAAATGCTGAGTGACTGTTCGCTAATTGGCCAAAACTTTCGTTGCCGCCGTGCAGACCCGTCGCGCCGTAGAGCTTTCCCTCTTCGATCGTTTTCGTGCTGCCGTCGCTTGACCCATTGCCCACCAGCACGCGGTCAACCACAAGTTTAGACCCCACCATCGGATATATTTACTAACAATCCACGTATCTCTCTGGAGATGTACAAGGGTTTATGTTCGCAGGTCACAAGATTAGGGGCACTCGCGAGACCGGGCTAGGAACAATGAGGGTGTACGGGAACGTTGTCGAGACAATTGAAGCGCTGATATACTGTTTGCAAACACGTCCTTGTTCAGGAGAAACGGGGGAGTGTTGTGCCAAGTGGCCTTGGTGCGAAGTGCACCAATGAAGGGCCACCAGCCATGCCGCTCGGTCTGGAGGCTTGAAGGGCTTGAACACCCATTAGGGCACAGTATTCGCCTTCCCAGTTGCTGGAAGGCAGCTGGGGCCAGGGCTACGTCTCTTGGCTACAGTTCAGCACGCTTGTATAAAAGTCCCTCCCTCTCTCTCCAGTGACTACCCTTCCACATCAGGGTAAATTAGAGTGAACTTCAAATATTTAATTACCATTTATACCCAAACTACCTCATGAAAGCTTTGCTTGGGTGCTATAGAAACGTGGCACTGTCTGCTATCAACTGCATTCAATGAAAGCACGACCTCAAATGACTGTGTTTGGAAATTTTTACTTCCAGTGTCAGCTCTCGGGAAGGTTGTTCACGCTTCCAGGAGGGATATTTGGAGTGAAGGCCGACTCACTGCGTAAACGCAACAAACTCGCAACAACCGCAGCATGGCCTTTATCGGCAGTGTTCTGCGCAATTGCTAATCGCGCGTCCTTCGATGCTCGCTTCGCTGCTTGTAGCTCTGCCATTTCGGCTCTTTTTTGCAGCAGTTCCCTCAGGGAACTTCTGAAAGGAAGAGCCGAAATGGCAGAGCGGAACAAAAAAGAGGCTCCTTTTTGTCTCACGTTCGAGCCTTTTACGAGCGGTATCTGCATTCTTTCGAAGCTTTGCCTCCTCCTTTGCCTTCATCTTTGCCCTCATTTCTTCCTCTCGCTTCAGCGAAGCAGTCACTTCCGCCTGTTGTCGCTCTCTACGCTTCGCGACTAATTGACTGTGGGTTAAATATATGGCTGGGCCGCCGCAGCCAACACTTCCATTTTAGTAGTTGTCTTGACCCCCTTCTCGCGATAGGCGGAATGCCGCCTGTCGACAGGATTAGACGATATGACCGAAGATCTTCGGTCATATCGTCTAAGGTGGACGCAATAGTTTTGTGTCTCCTCAAAATTGAAGACAAATCTTCGATTGTCTGGGGACCTTTATCAGAGGCAACTATCCTCTTGATATCCGCAAATGTGTTGCGATCTGTGCGTCTCCTTACAGTTGTGGGCAACATACCTGGCTGCTCCGCCAAGTCCGACTTCATCACCTCTTCTGAAATCTTGAGCTTTTCCGTAAAGCGGAAATCCATTGGCCACAGTCCGCATACTGCAAACGATTCGCAGACGTCCTTTTTTGTCAAAGCATTGAACCAAGCAACCACACGCTTGAGCTTGATTCCCATACTGGTGAAATCCAGCATTGCGAATTTTGACAAATGGTCCTTAGTTTTTCGGATAGCAGTTTGGAAGCGCTTGTTAATGTACTGATCACAGGGCTGTAGGAAGTGTGAGGTGTTGGCGGGGCTTTGCACAACCTCGATATTTTTGTCTATGAAGCCCTGGAGCCAGTCCTATCCGCCTCTCGACGAATGACCATCTAATGTTAGCAACACCTTTTGACTAGAAGGAACGTATTTACGTATATTGACGTTCACGTGCTCGATCGAAAGCGGTAAAATACTTTTTTTCATTGATCGATTTGCTGTGGGGACGAGGCAAGATTCTTCGGGATACCAGTTGTCTCGAGTCATCCAATGCGGGAAACCAAGTTCGTCCTTGAATATCTCGGGGTGGAGAGATTCGAACCAGCGCTGCATTTGGTTAACACCAGCAAGAATGAAGAACGGAGGCACTACATGTCCAGCTGCTGAGGAGACTACTACAGCAGTGAGATGCTTGCCTGTACCCGCAACAGCATTTGTGGACCTAAAACCACCGTGACTTGTATCTGATGATCCGAACACTTTCACGTTCTGCCCATGTTCCCCAGAAACTTTTGTTTCATCAAGATTCCATATGAATTCCGGTTTCTCAAAAATACCAGGATTAGCCTTTGAAACCTGCTTTAGAGCAGCTTCGAACGTTTTTAGATGCTTAAAAGATTCCCCTTTGAGCTTTGCAAGCTCCCTCTTCTCATAATTGCGACACGTAATATCCCGGTGACGCGCCCTAAATGATCGAATGAAGTTTGGAGAGGGAACACCCTTTTTTAAATCCCCTCTTCCGTGTGTTGCTATTTGTCCCCATAATTGTGCGCAAGGTGGGAACATCAATTGCGAATACCCTCAGTGCAACTTCCTTAAGGCGTTCTTTTATAATTGCCTCTTCAGCAGAACTCAGAATAGTTCGAGCACCTGCTCTGTGACGAGCAGGATTCAGCAAGCAATTCAGTTGTTCTGTGTTTCCTTTTTTGAGGCAGGTTCTGATCCTCATAATCGTACCATTAGATTAGATAAACCTGTTCTTGACATTACATTTGTTATTGTTGCTTTGTTTTTGAGCATTTCGACCGTACTCAGGCGAGCTTCTCTTGCTGCTTGATCGTGTTCATCGCGCTTTTTGTGGGCATTGCGCTGGCGTTTCATAGACATCGTCACCATTTCTGGGGATGACTCCAGACTCTCACGGCTTAACGAACAATGGTGCACCGACGAGGTCTTCCCATGAAGAAATACAGTATCTTTCACATCCTGTTACTGTATCTGTTTCATATTGACATTCATCATCTGGGATATGAACGTGGCTCGAATTGCCGCTCTTTTTCAAAAAAGCGCATTGCTAGCTCTCGGGCCTCCCATGCGCCTCGAGGCGGAGCCGAGGGTCCGCTTCCCTCGTGCCCCATGTGACAACCTATACGTATGAAGTGAGATGATGTCTGCATATACTATACATACATCATTGGCGCACTCAGAGAGCGGCTCAGGTCAGCCCCCGGTAAATTTCGACACTAATCGCAGTGCTCACGAGCCCTTGGCGTGGTGGAAGGAAATGTTCAACGCTGATACGCAGAGACGATGATCCGTTTACTTCTAGTCGTGAGACCTGGCGATGTGCACATAAGGTGCACGGCGGCGGTGCTCTACACGTAGGCTTACGTGTTCTATGTGTACCGTATCATTGATGAGGTGGAGAAGGAGCAGTGGCCGCGGAGCGACGAAGTGAGGTTATGTGTACCGTGTCATTCCCCCGGTCGCGGAGCGGTCATGGCGGGTGGATTTTTCGTTGGCCCCGGGATGATGTTGAGGTTGCGGATGAGGCGTTGGAAAGGGGCGGGTTTCAGTGGTTTGGTGAAAGGGTCAGCGAGCATGTTGGCGGAAGGGACGTGTTCGAGCGAGATGTGGCGTTGCTTGATGTGGTGGTGAAGGTCGTGGCGTCGGAGGTCGATATATTTTCGTCGCTTGGTTGGACCGGTTTGTTTGGCGACCTGTATGGCTGCCTGGTTGTCCATGTACAGGGGGGTGGGGGTAGGGCGGAGCATGCTGAAGTCGGCGAGGACGCGACGCAGCCATTGGATTTGTTGGACTGCGGCAGTGGCCGCAACATATTCTGCTTCGCAGGTTGACAAGGCCTGGATGTTTTGCTTGGTTGAGCTCCAGCTGATAGGCGCACCGTTGAATAGGTGTACGATGCCGCTGATAGATTTTCGATCCTTCACGTCCCCGGCGTGGTCCGCGTCGGAGTAGGTGACAAGGCTGCCGAGGTGGCCGGTGGCTTGGTTCGAGGAGATGGCGAAGCTGGCTAGGAAGCTTTCCGGGCGGCTTGGGAAGTATATGCCGGTAGACTGCGTGGCGCGTAGATAACGGGCGACGCGCTTGAGGATTGCCCAGTGCCGCTTGGTGGGTGTCTTCATGGCGCAGGCCAGTTGTTCATAACGAGGTGGATGTCCGGCCTTGTGCAGTCTGCGATGTACCGTAGATCACCGACTGCCTGCTGGAAGAGCTTGGATTGCGAGGCGTACGGTTGGTCGCTGGGGGTGGGGGCATGGAGGGCAGTGCTATCGGGGTAAGGGGACGGCTTACCGTTGGCGTCCTGCATACGAAGCTTGGCGAGGAGCTGCTCGATGTAGTCTGGTTGTGAGATATGCAGCGAAGCGTCCGGGTTACGAACAACTGTCCATCCAAGATAGCGGATGGGTGTGCCGAGGCGCTTTGTCGTGTACTTCTTGGCAAGCTCAACGACGAAGGCGTCGATGAGGGATGTATTTGAGGCCGCCACTGCGAAGTCGTCCATGCTGACGGCGAGGAAGATGGATCCGGCCGAGGAGGTGCGGGAGAATAGGCAAAGTTCACTCTCGGACTGCTTGAAGCCAAGGGAGCGTGGGAATTTAAATGCTCCTTCTAGGTAAAGGAATCCTGCGTTCTTTCCCGCATAGAGGTTACCGATGAGCTGTCCGACTTCGCCGCGGTGCTTGAGCGTACCGTTGAACCGTGCCGGTTGATTGACGTAGACGGGGCGGGAATGCTTGAAACGCTCATTCAGGTATGCCCCCATGATATCGAGGTGCTCGAGGGACAGCTTGTATGTGGCGGCAATTGCGAAGAGGAGGCGCACAGCGGTTTTGTCCGCCATATAAGACGTGGTTTTGTCCGGGTCATAGTGGAAGTGTGGCCGCATTTTGTCGCCACGGATGGTGCAGCGAGCCTTGCGCATCGTGGTCCCGCCAGCTCCGTTTCGCTTGTACCGGTAGGTCATCTTCAGCGGGAGAGGGGGGGAGGTCTTGGGGATGCAGGAGGAGTCGGAGATCCAGGCGATGGCCTTTTTATTGTCCAGCTGGTCTAGCTCGGCGTCGTGAGCTGCGCCCCAGGCCGCGGAGTCGGGGTATTTGCGCGCTTCGGTGGGGTTTAAGGGCGCCGGGGTGAAGCTGGTGACTTTTGTGGGGGTAGGGTGGGGCGTGAAAGTCTTGAATACGGCGGATGTGGTGTAGGTGGGGTCCGTCTCTCGGTGGTACTGCTTGAAGTCCAATGCGCGGATGCGGTGGCAGACGTTATTCTGGGTGTTGAGGACCATGATTATTTTAGTGTCTAGCGCGTAGAGGTAGCGCGCGGGGTGCGATCGTGAGTCCAACTTCTTCCTTGCTGTCTTGTCAGTGAGGGTTGGGATCGTGCCGAGTTGGCCGAAGACGAGGAGCTTGCTCAGATGCGGGGGTTCGCCATACCAAAGAGTAGGGAGGAGGGCGCCTGTTGCCGAGTGCACGGTGATATTGTATTTGAAAGCCGCGTCTCGCACAGCGTCTTCGCAATGCGAGAGCGGGAGTCGGCTGTGGTGTAACGACGCACGTGCGGCAGCGAGGAGCGTCCCGTTGATTCGTTCAGCGAGGCTGTTCTGTTGCGGAGTATGGGGCAGTGAGGAGTCGTGGGACAGATCATGGGCGAGGTAGACTTGTCGGGCTTGTTTGGATATGTATTCTCCCGCGTTGTCGGTGCGGAAGATATGGGGGGGGGAGGGTAGCCGTGGAATTTCGTGATGAGGGCGATGATGCGATCCAGCCGATGCGAGAGCAGTTTTCGGTTGGGGAGGAAGTCCAGTATGACATACCGAGATGCCGTGTCGATGATTAGGAGGACGTAGCGGTTTCCTTGTCTGGGTGTGGGCGCCACGGGGCCGCAGATGTCGCTGCTGAGTACGCTGGTGACGAGGTAGCGGTGGGGGGCGGCCAGGCGGAAAGGTTGGGGTTTCTGTTTGCCATGCGCGCAGGAGGAGCAGGTTTGCGGGTGGGGGCGGTGGGCGAGGCTGTGAGGGAGGTGGGGGATAAGTCGGAGTTGTGCCATTCGTTGGAGGGTCCGGGGTTGGGCGTGGTTGAAGACCATGTGGTAGTGATGGTGCTCGAGGTCCTGCTGTGTGGGTGGCAGGGGTGGGGGTAAGGTCCCGATAGGGTTGTGTAAGCTGTGTAGGGTTGGTTGCACAAGTTGAGGCGGGACTTGGAGGGTCGGGATTGATGTGCGTTTAGCCGGTTTCCGGCGGCCTGGCTGAGGCCGGGGGGGAGCTGCTTGAGCTGTAAGGGATGCGGGGAGTGCCGGTTGAGGTTGAGGCGGGCGTGTGGGAACAGTTTGGTGATCGCCGAGGGTCCGGGCGGAGCGAGCTTGGGCGGTTTGGATGGACCGTCGAGAATGTAAAGGCCTCCTTTGAAGGCGGCGGTTCCAACGATGGTGTTTACTGAGGGCTGTTTCGTGTTGACGATGGAAGCGTTCTGTGCGGTAAATGCAACCATTCCGGCAGTGCGTGCGAGGTCGTGCACTGATACCAAGTTGTGGGTGACGGATGGGTTGGAAAGCGCGGGGAGGGCAAGTTTAACCTTCCGGTTGGTCACCAGCTGCAACGTTCCATGATGCGTGGAGGATGATTTGGAGTCAGTAGCGGTTTGGGTGGGGATGGGTGTCGTGAGAGGCAGAATGTTTGCGGTAGGTCGGTAGACGTGTGTGGGGTGGGCGCCAGAATCAAGAATAAACGTACTGTCGTTGTCGGTGGAGGCGGAATCGTCGTCGTTGGCTATGAGCTGTTGTTCGAGGGCTTCAAGGGCTGTGTTGGCCTGCATAGCGCGGCGAGAAGGAGCCCGACCGGACGACCTATGTTTGGTGCTGGAGCCCGACAGCTGCTGCGGGGTGGCGTAGGGGGCCTGCGGCCATTGCCCGTACGCTGGGTAAGGGGCGGGGTAGGGTGGGGCTGCCGGTTCCGGGTAGGGGTATCCAGGCGGCTGATAGCTGGCAGGTATTTGGTACGGGGCGACGGGTGCTTGGTACGGGAAATACGGAGGGGGGTAGTAGCGGCCGCGGTGTTCTCCTCTGTGGCCTCGACCGCGACCTCCACGGCCTTTCCCGCGTCGCTTGGTCTGTGTGAGGCCCTGGGGGGTGGAGTAATCTTCGTCTTTTGAGGAGATTTTGTGACGAGCTTCAATGGCCTCGAGATGACGTTCAATTTGGGTGACGGAAGGTGGAATGTTGTCGTTTTCGATCCACTGGGTAGTTAGGTGCTTGAAGCGGCTGTGCGCGGACAAGCCCTCGGCGATAAACTTGACGGTGGTAGCCTCATCGTTGATTTCCGGGTATTGTGCGTTCTTCATTTTGTTGCGGAGGGTGCGGTGTTGGGTGATGTATTCGCTGACGGAGATCTCGTGAGTGAGTCTGATGGCTTCCGCTTGTTGGCGGAGAATGTGGTGGTCCATTATCGTCGATGAGGAGAATATGGTCTTAATGGACGCAACGAGGTCGTACGGGGTAGAGTCTGTGTTGATTTCGAAATGGCGGAGATTGTTGAAGGGAGACTTTTCATGATTGCTAGGCGGACGAGGCCCCTTTGTTGACGGTAGGCGGCGTACTCGTCGGAGGAAGGGTCTGGATGGGTGTAAGTGGCGTAGAGGAAGTCCGGGAAGGCGTGGACGTCGATGAAGTCGGTTAAGGACATCAGCCAGATGTGGAGATTGGCACCGTTCGTGCTGAGGTCAGGAATGGAGTGTTCAGTGGCGTGTTGTTCAGGCAGAGTTGCCATGTTGTTCGCGGATGTTGGAGCTCGACGCGTGTGGGCCTGGGCAGAGTGGGGTTCTCGACGCACCGGTGTAGAGTAGCCGTTGTACTCGAGGTGGCTGGGCGCGCGCCGCTTTCTGGTGCTGCGCCGCAGGGGTTGGGAAAGGGGTTCAATGTTGATCGTGGCGGGGTGTGTGGGGTAGGACCATAACCTGATACGCAGAGACGATGATCCGTTTACTTCTAGTCGTGAGACCTGGCGATGTGCACATAAGGTGCACGGCGGCGGCGCTCTACACGTAGGCTTACGTGTTCTATGTGTACCGTGTCAAACGCTTTGAGAGCGAAAGGCTGCTGCCTGCGTCTTTATTTTGTAAAATTTGGATGTATCGAGAGCGACGTTGCGCGAGATCCCCGAGCACGGGTTGAGTTAAGTGTTGTTGATTGGCAGAGTGAGGGCCTCCTTTAAGATAGCATGGACAGCCATGTTTGGATGTATATGTTTGCGATTTTCAAAATATTACATGTCCAATAATTTAATGTATTGTGTCAGCGCGCCGTGATCCGTAAATTGGCTCAAGGGGTGCATCATACCGGGCTATCGATAGGGAAGAGGGTAGAAAGGATGTCTTTTTGGGTCTTGGTTTGGTTCTGTCGGGAGACGAATCGCATCTCCTTCGATTGCCAGCCTCCCGCCTTTTTTCAAGTGTACAGGGGGGTCGCGATAGAGTGCCATCTTTTGTTAGTGCCAGCTCCGATACCCTTTTGCGGGTGGCGCGAATTTTGAGCCAAAAACTAAGGGTCTCCAGAGAGGCAGTTGGATGGACGTACTGCCCGAGAGCCGCTGCCGCCGCGGAAAGATATTATGCAGTTGCTTACTAGAATAGAGACTATGGCGGAAAAAGGCAGGGTCGATGATGCAATTGGACATCTGCAAAAGTGTAGGCTGGCATTTATTGCTGCAAAAATGGAGGAAGTCAATGCGACGGCTCGGAAGCTACTAATGACATAAATGCTTGATTAGACTTGAGTCTGTAGTGAAGATGCAAAGTATGAGTGATAGCGTCTTGCGAACGGTCTTTCTGAGCAGTGATGCAAGGAAGTGGCTGCAAAAAAGCCGCAAATCTCATTATCTTACAGTGCCTGGTTCGATATAGTGCCGTTTTCGGCCCACTGACAGAGGGAGGCACTATATCGCGATCCCCGTGTACTGGCATTCAGGGACGTCAATAAAATGATTAAATTGAATTTTAATGTATGCTAAATTGGATCAAGATTGAATTCAATCGCACTTATGCGGTAGGCGACAGCCAATGGTGTGCTCTCGTATGGCACGTTGGTAGTGACAGATTCCATTATTTTAACTTTGTGTGCGCCATCATACTGTTAAGAAAAGTATTAAATGGACCAATCAGGTGCACGCTGACGTCCATACATGTCCAAACATGCCCGTCCATGCTGTCTTAAAGGAGGGCCTGAGTAGCATCCCAAAGGTCAGCCTCGATCACCATATCGAAACACCTCTCCATCTGCTTGCTTAGAAGAGAACGTTGAGCCTCTCAACCTCAGACGGCTGAACGGCACCATCGATATCCGCAGCAACCACGTCATTCGGGTTGTTGGACACCACCAGAAGGTTGCTTCCGTCATCGAATGAAACGTCAGTAACCTCGATGAAAGCGAAAGCGACTGTCGGGATGTTGCTCTGACCGGTGGCTGACAGAGTACCGGTGATCCTGATTTCGCTGTCGACGACGCTTTCGAGGATCTCCTCGATGGCGGTGGTTTTCGTTTCGAAGTTCTCGATGCTCTCGGCAGCCTCGGCGATCTGCTCGGTACTGATGCTCTCAGCGAAGTTCAGGCCCAAGAGCTCAAAGATGGGAAGCTTGAGGGAGCCGTCGAAATTGCTGACGAGCTCTTCGAACTGAACGCGCTCCTCGGCGGTGAGGGTCTCGACGAAGGTGGAGCTCATTCTGTTGATGGTCTCAGCATCGACGGCGGTGACGGTGACGTCGAAATCTAAGGTGGCAGTGGCGCCTCGGACAACACTGATACCGACCCTAGTGAGACGGCCGAAGCCGGTGGAGGTCTCGGTGACGGCGAATTCACTGGTCTCGGACTGGCGGGTGACGGGGACGAGGCTTTTGACCACGTTGACGATGCGGCGGGGGGCAGGGCCGGCGAGGGCAGCGGAGAAGAAGAGGGCGAGGCAAGCGATAAACTTTGCGGAGACCATTATGGGATATAGTTTAGTGAGGCGGAGGGATGCGAAGGGAATTGGCTCAAGATTTGTGTGTGGGAAAGTTGGAAGCGGGAAGCCATTCGGGTGTGGTTTTATAGGGAAGTGAGAGGAGGGGAGAATTGGATGGCTGCATTGGCTGAGAAGGAATGATGGTGCCCGAGGATGGACAGAGAGGACGTGGTGACAAGATGACTCCAGTGACCAGGATGGTACAGAAATGCCATAAGCTTTGAGGATGGGGAATGACGATTAGAGAAAGTCCACGGTTGCAATTTAGTTTTTGTTTAAATCATGTGCCATGACCTGGGGAATTGCCGATTCCTTGGTGGCAATGAAGAAGGAAATGAGGAACTTAAGATGGTGACGACGAAGTGAAATCAGAATTAGAGGGTATGGAAGGATGCGGCTGGCGGAGTGAAGGAATAAGTGAAGGCAAAGTGTCGATGCATGCGGAGGAATGGGATGCAAATTGGTGAAGATATTGAGGCAGGGTAGGTCTTCGAAACAAGAAAGGGGAGCCTTTGTGACAGGAAGTCATAAGGCATAATCGTGAGCGAAAGGAGACGTGACTGTGGCGAGATTAAAGCTGTTTGTTTGTGAAGCGGAGAAATGTGGAGGGTGTGTGGATGTCACATGTACCCTTGGTACAGTAATGCACAAGGAGTTACATTCCGTATGTGTACATGACTTTGGGGGAGTGGAAAAAGATGAGACCGGTTGCTGCTCGGGATGCATTATCATGCATCGATAGCAAGGACGATGGCGTTGTTGCGTTGCCATGCAGGAAGAGACGTATATTTTATTATTAATATTACTATAATAACAATATATTATTATTATTATCAGGAGGAGAAAACACATGGGCTACTTTGTTACACGTGTACACGGTGCTACCGCCGAACACGTGTTAGGATCCCTCCCTTTGGGTACGGTCTGTTTCTCATACATTGGGACAGCGTGTCTTAAAGCTGCCAACCTGTACTGTACCTTGAGGGAAGAGAGCAATCAATACCTGTACCGTTTAGGGCTGTGTCCGCACAAGGGTGCTTTTAGAGCAACCCCACCGCGCACATTTATTTGATCAATAGAATTTCCGCTCACAATTTTCAACCCCACCGCGCAATTCTATCGCTTTCCGAAATCGAATAGAACAATTTTGGGATCTATCCGAGCTCCGATAGATTCTAAAAACGTTCTATCCGGTGAATAGATTCCGCGATAGAATGCCACGTGCAAGGCGTGTCAGCCGAATTCTGGCCAATTGTGCATCCTTCTCGCCCGAGAACCTCCGCTGCTTCGTCGCTGCAGCATGCATTCCGGTGGCGCGTGACCTGTGCATGCTCGCGACGATGCTTTCATCATCACCATCGCTGTCGTCCATATACTGTACTGAAGGACGCTTCCGAGGACTGTTCTCCGGTCCATTGGCGATGATAACTCGTGAGAGCGCGTAGTTGGACAATACCCGAGGGAGGGCGCGCGACGAAGAGGGAAAGAGGGCACAGGCTGCGGAAGAGAGACATGCAGCCGCGCGGGATTCACGGCGAGGGGTGGGCGTCTCGATGAACGATCGCCTCTTCGCAGACGATGTGTGACGTCTCGCCGTTGTCTGCGCGGGCATATAGCGATAGATTTGCAACATATGCGTTGGGGTTGACGCGAATAGATTCCACACGAATAGATTGACGAATAGGCACAAAATTCAATTCGGGCAACCGGCGAATGGTCAGCGTACACGTTGTACTTCTATCCGGCAATAGAATCGACGCGGTGGGGATGCTCTTAGCTCTGCAGTATGAGTTCGTATATGCCAAAATCATAGCCTGTGATAAAGAAGAATTGCTCTTTACGAGGGCGCCATTGCAGTGGGTGCAGTGGGTGCAGCCAGGAACTGCCACTCCACCACACCACTCAATCAACCAATCAGAATGCAGGAATGCAGGTGTGGGCTCCGCCACTTCCCGTCACTTCTGGCAGAGTGGGAAGGCCTTAGCTACCCCTTTTCACTCTCACACTCTCCCCCACTCAACAACATTCACCACAGTATTCTGTGTTAACCCCTTTATCCCAACAAACAAGTATGCCTCTCAATCGCAAAGCAAAGCTTGCGCGTCGTGTGGCGTTGGGGAATGGAGATAGCCTCAAGTCTATGGGATACTGTGACTACTTGCAGTGTTGTAGAGTTGTAAATATATAATTTTCGAACGTCCACCACTTTTTGATAGAGTGGTGAAGTGGCAATTCCCTGCTGCACCCACTGTATCGGTACTCTGCATCCTGCTTCTTTTAAAGCATTGTATTTTAGTAGGACGAATGCTTTATTCCTTCGAGCCCCCCCACAATCAACACTACAAGTCCGTGTGTGCCATCTACGCTGGCATAAGTCACGACAGCAATAGGCAAATGCGCCGCCTTCCTCATTAAACACCTTAATTGTTTTCAAACTCATTTTATCTGTTCTCTTTTACTTCGAGTGGAAGGTCTAGTTTCTTACAGTCACACTACCCATCCGTTGTAAAAGAGAAAAAACTCCTCTCTGTCAATCGCAGTAGAACCCGGAATCGCAAATAACATCAACAACCGGATCTTCGGAAGGGAGCACGTCACCACCAGAGGTACCAGCAACAACATCTTCGGGGTTGTTGGACACGATCAGTTGAGAGCTCCCGTCCTCGAAAGTAACCCTGGCGAGCTTGATGAAAGCGAAAGCAACAGTCGGTCGGAAGCTTATTCCGGTGGCCTTGAGCGAACCAGAGATCCTGATCTTTGTCGAAGCAGAATTCTCAAGAAGCTGCGACGCCGCCCTCACCTTCTCAGTGTAGTTCTCCTGCGAGGCCGCCTCCTCAGTGAACGACTCGGTAGTTACCTTCTTGTCAAAGTCCGCACCGATCCACTTGAACAGTGGAATGTCAAGGCCCTTCTTCCACGACGCTTTGCGGGTCCTGTAGACAGACTTCTCAGCAGCAGAGAGAGTCGCCTCAAATTCCTTGTCATTCTTCTGAAGAGTCTCGGCGTCAATGGCCTTAACTACGATGTCGAAGTACAGAGTTCCGTAGGCACCACGGTTCACGTTGAGACCAACGCGGGTAATGCGACCAACACCAGATTCGGAGGAGTAAGAAGTGAAATCGGAGAATTCATCACGAGTCACGGTGGCGGGGATGAATTCCTCTACAATGTTGACGATCTTTCCCTTAGGCTTCGGGGTGGGCACCTCACCTGGAAACCCAGCATCACCAGATTCGATAACTTCGATTGTGCGAATAGATTTGGCAGCAAGAGTTGCCGTGAAAAGAGCAAAAAGGCAGACGAGAAACTTAGTGAAGGCCATGTTGTTTCGTTGAGGGGGTATTCAAGTTCTGATGTAGAGGTAGGCGGTTGAGAGACTGTGAGGATGACTTCACTACCATGGACGCGATGACGAGCTACTTTATATAGAAGAATTGAAAGAGTTGGAAGGCATCGGTAGTTTATGATCTATTACTTCTGCAGCTAGCAAATCGTTCAGAGGGCAGGATGTATACAGACACATACAGAAAAGTTCTCAGACCCTCTTTTTTGATGGTTGCAATGAACTGTGGTCCAACGAAATAAGAAGGAATTTCGAAAGCGTAAAGAATCCTTCGATAGCGTATATTCCGCAGCTCAAAGATGGCCGGGAAAAACTGTAAAACCTCTTAGAGTTGGGCGTGAGGGTAATGTCCGCAGGACTCTACCCGGCCAGGTTACTTTAGAATCGATGAGATAACATAGAACAGAAGCTTGAACACATGACAGATATGACGCAAAATCACACAAGCTAATTTGTCCTTGGCGGTGTCTCTTCCCCGGAAAGGTCATACGTGTTCAGCGAGCACAAATCTGCCGGTCTTTTTCGAACAAGGTGTATATCAGATGCGTATCCTTCACAGGCCATGCCGCTTGTCCTGATAGAACCCTCAATAATATTCCTGACAGATAGCACTTGCAGAACCAGCAGGGAGAAAAGGGGCTTTTCTCACTGGAGTCCAGCCGCAATAAAAACTTTCGCCATGCCACTAAGTGGACTGTACATGAACGCCGTTGTTGCACAAACGATGCAATAGTCAGAATATGTATCCTAGCCGAAGTCCGTCAAGGTTAGCTCCACCATCCGTACAATGTACTTATTCATACACTTATTTGAAATGGCCCTGTCGATACCTGGTTACCACTCGACCAGTCGTCAAGGTGTAAACGAAACTTTGGGGATAGATCTCATCCATAATAAAGTCGTGGCGGATAAACGCAGGTTCTAGACCACAGTTTCATAGCAATGAAGTATATTCTGTTTTCGAGGAGAAATGATGCTAGATGTCCGACAGGATCAAACTCTACAACTCATAGAAATAACTTGAGCGTAAGAGAACGGACGCTAAGGCCCTGCAAAAACAAAGCCAAAATGTCTGGGAAAGTTGCTCAAAGGCCACAGCCCCCGTGTAAGTAAGTATCAGGGGTGTTTTGAGGTAAAAATGGAAGTTGAGAGTATGTCAGGCGTGAGTCGGCGATCTAAACACTGTTCAACAAACGCAAGCAACCACGGCCTGTTGGGAATGTAATTTATACAATGAAATGGAGAGCCACAAGAGCGGATAATGATGATCATGGCCTGCGTGTCTCAGTATCTATGGAATCGTGGCTTGAAAGGACCCGATTACAGAAGTTTTAGAGTGATCTTCGAAGTATGCAGAGTTAAAACTGTTCGATGCCTGATTCAAGAGCCTTTTAGAAACCCCAACCATATTGTTCTTTGTGTGCTGGCCCCCCTCGCATGCTCCACCTTTTTGAAAAACTGGTAGCTGGACTTTTCTTGATAGGCCACCTTACATTGAATGGCACATATTTGCGTTATACTGTAGTCTTCAGGAAGTCTCGACAGCAATGGAAATGATGACTGGAGCCCACGAAAGGAATTAAGGCATGAATTTTTACATTCACTACTCATTGGATCAACTACTTGCCAGTATTCCACCGCTTGTTACAAGCAGCGCATGAAACAGAACCACTTTCTGCCATCTTTGTGTGACAGCGGTGTGGAATCCGAATTACAACGTGGCGATTTTTGGGACCTGTTTTTTCGGATCATACATGGAGGATTAAATGGCCATGCAGTAGCTGTGTGTGAAATAAAATAATTTCTCCATTTCCGAACCGCAACACGAAAATTGTCGACAACGCATCTGATCCTGATTTGACGTGAAGAACTTGCGAAGGTTCCGTTTGGTGCTCGTTCACTTTAGCGACCAAATATGTGCGGTTGACACGGTTTTTCCTTCAATGCTTTGCATTGTTGATCATTTAATGGTCGAGTATGATTCCCCCAATGTTCCATTCAGACAACCACCAAATTCCACATGGCTCGGCAGTGGAGCATTTATGCAGGCCCCTACAGTTGCCTTTCCAGCATGTCCATTTTTTTCTATGCATGCCTTAGCACCATATAGATAGGCAGCATCAAAGTGAGTGAGCGCCATCGTCATAAGGCTGTAACTATTGTACTCCTAAAAATAGGTTCATATACTGTGCCATACATGATGAAAACGCGCTTAGTTCATAGTTTTCACATCGCAGCAATGCGTTTTGCAGTGAATCAAAGTTCTTTTCTTTTCAGCAGAAAATGAGAGTTTTTCCAGCTTCTTTTCAATATTCTGCACATCCCACAACTGGAGAAACCACCTTCCCCATCTCTTATCGTTACAGTCCTCATTGACAAGTTCTTCCTCACCGAAGGGATCTCGAACAACGAGGGCGTTTACCTCTTTGGCTATTGTTGAACACGTAATCGGTCTCTGATACGAGAGGCCATCACGAGACAGAGAAATCAGAGTCCGCATCAGGATCCCTCACGTGTTCTGTAGAGGTGCACCGAACACCCCAAATTCTTCAGAGCTAGCCATGTGAGAAGACTCTGCCTTCCCAACGTCCATCCATTGGGAAGGCAGAGTCCGTAACATTTCTTCCAAGTGTATTTTTGGTTTTCAGTACGACTACCGTATTCCGATTTTAAATAGCATATTTCCGTGAATCACCAGTAAAGGAAGACGTAGTTTTGCAGCAATGGGACTGTCCGAAATCTAGCATCACGGCAAGCACTGCAACCAACGTGATCCAAAGTTAGTTTTGTTTAGCATACACAATAATGTAAAGGTACCGCAGGAACAGGGCATACTGTACAGCTGTGAATACATGGATGCCTCATTGTGATAGGTTTTTTGGCTTACTTTTTAAGACAGCCATCTCCACGATGGCATAGTCGATATTCCACGAATTCGTGTTGGGCCATGGAGAGCACCCATTTCGTCTTCAATGGCACCATCCTATTCTTTCTGACGCATGGAGATGGTGCACCAAGTTGGTGGGGAATTTGAACTATGTACATAAACTGGCGATGTGTTGTACAGGATCTGGGGGAATTAGCCTTTCTTGTTTATCATCAAAATCTGCTAAGTACACCTCGAGTCATATGTATCGTTTCTCCTCCGTGTACAGTTATGATCAGTTCAGAATACAATATTTGCCGAACTGTATAAAGAAGATCGCAACGCAGTTGGGAGATGTAAATAGTCTTGTCTAGGCTTTTTCGCACTACGTGAAAGAGTACTGCCTGTGCGGAGAAAACGCAGGAGAGACATAACGCGTGTTGGTCATATATGTCGAAGGTTATCCTATCGATCTATCAATTTATCAATCGCGCTCCTTTTCGATCGCAGTTCAGTTGGGCAGTTGGACTAACAACGTTCTAATGTTAGAACGTTGTTAGTCCAACTGTACAGTAGCTTGGAGGACATCTGTTAACAGATGTCCTCCAAGCTACTGTACTTTTCTGTGATGAACATCGCAAAAGGCTTCCTAGAACCACAGAGTCCTTTCTTGAGTATCCAGATGAGCGTGGTCACGAGAGTACGATGCCGAAGCTCCAACCACCCCCGAATATTTTATCCTATAGTCCTCCAGCGAGGTTTTTTTATTATCTCCAATAGTGATGGACTCCTTATTGCAACGCAGGTGTTACTCTTTTGTATCATGTGAGAATCGAAAGAACATCTGGCGCTTGTTCCACACAGTATGCCTGGATTTCCATAAGGTGGCACAAGGGCGAAGATCCTGGGCTGCGACCATGTACAGTACAGAATCGCGCTTGCCGCAGCGTCACCAAACGGGTTGCAACAACTGCGCAGCAGCCTAAAACGGCTGCTATGTCCGCATGGCGACTTCTAATTCACGTTGGCATCGTGGATATGACAACGCATCTGTATGTATGTAAGCTCAAGGCAGCAGTGCACCTTGGGACAACCTCTTTTCGGCAACTTCTACAGTATATTGGGCTTCTGTAATTTAGTGCCCCGGCAGGCACGGTATATGCAGCGGTATGATTCGCACTTTGACTCGTAAGGGAAGGGCATGTCGAATTGTATGAAATTTTAAATAAGTTTTGACCCGAGCATGCCCCAAATAGACTCCGATTTCGGCCGCTGGACGTCAGGAAAAGAGGTGTGGCAAGCCCCAGAGAGCTGATAGCGGCTAGCCCCACTCCCTGCTAAACTCATGTACAGTACTGTACTTGTAAGTCTGTGCTGTTGGAAGGATGCTGGCATCCGTCTGGCACCAGCACCTCGGTGGCGATGCACAGCTCCCGCACCGCCGTCACCCATCAAGTGTTTCTTCGGTTGGCTATGCCGCACCAAATACGTTTAGATTTTTCACATACGGGATCGGATGCCTTTATTCGAGCGTGCTTAATATTGAAAGACACCTGGATTGACAAAACAGTTGGCACTTCTGAGCTAGAGAAGACACGATCTGTGAATTATGTACAGAGCTTTATTCACGCAACGCTACAATGTTCCGTCCTCTCAGGATCTCAACAAATTCTCTCCGTATTGAACCAACTGTGTGCCATTCTTGCCAGGAAAGGGCATACCCTCGAGCACTGAGACTTCCATTTTTTCTTGTTTTGAAGCTGAACTCAGAAACTGGCAAGTCAGAAGACGTACAGGTGAGCAACATCTATTGCATGGAAATGTGATAAACGCCTTGGCTTTTGGGGGCTCTCTCCACCCACGATCTTCCAGGACTTGTGCTATTACACTTTCGGCTGCCTGCCGAGCCGAGCCGCCATAGATCACAGAAGAAATTTGGATTTTGCGATTTCATTATGATTACCGCCCTCTCATCCTTCCTGCTCTTTGCAACTGCAACACTGTATATCTCGAAGAATGAGTGAAATGCATTCATAGAGTATAAACATTGAGTAAGCTTTAGTTTCGCAAGGCCTTTGAAATTCGCTGTGTTTGGCTATTCGAAAATTATCCCTTGCTGTGTTTACAAAGTTAGTACAGTACTCAAAAAGAAGGCTTCTGTTCAGCTGTCGCAGTGTATATAAAGCGAGCCCGAGTTCAGACAAAGGGGAAGAAATCAGAACATCACTCCTCCTTACAAAGCTCCTCCAACCTGCTCCACTGCTCCTATCCTACACCTTCAAAATGATCCCCGCAAAGTTCATCATCTGCCTGGCTGCTGTCTTCTCTGTCGTCTTTGCAGTTCCTGGACGAGGCCGTATCATCAGCATTGATGATGAGTTTGTTCCCATTTCAATCCGATCTGAGGATTCGTCATTCTTTATCGAAGAGTCTAATGCTGGCTTCGGTCGAATCACGCGTACTGGACTTTCTGTGACCAAGGGTGCCTCTGGTATTCTCGATTTCGACATTACTGTCAAGGCCATCGATGCTGAACGCCTCAGCAGAAAAGACGCTTCATTTGAAAGCACGCTCACGGCAGCAGAACGCTCCGAGTACACCGCGCTCAAGAGAAGTTTTAAGGGTAGGCTCAACATTCCGTTCCTTCACTACATCGGAGCGAACTTGGAGGAAAAAGTGACTCGCGAGAAACTGGAGAGCAGCGCCGCATCTATTACTGACTATGCTTCCAAGGCATCTGCTGCGGAGGAAATTCTCGACAGTGTGGTCGACACTAAGATTCGTATCACTGGTACTTTAGAAGCCACTGGTGTGAGCTTCATCCCGACTGTGGCATTCGCCTTCATCAGGCTTGCCAGGGTTAAATTCGAAAATGGAAGCTCCCAATTAGTTGTCTCCAACGATGCCAACGATTTGACGGCTGCCACTCGAGGTGGAGATGAGGTGCCCAGCAAGGGAAAGAAGCTTAACATTTTGCTTGGTTAAGGACAATAGAGTGGGTGTGTGAAACGCGGAAGAAGAAAAAGAGGACATTAGTTCATTTTACGAAATGCGCTACTATCTTTAGAGGAAACGCAACGTGGTACGGTAGAGTTGATCTCCCAAATCCGGGGCAACGGTCTGTGCCATGAGGGAACAAGACCCTATTGCGTAGACAAGGTGCGTACTTCGTGAAAATAAAAAGAATATCTTGTGAAAACATGAAGGTCGTTTGACAAAGAGGTACTGTAGCTGTCATGAAGAGCAAAGCTTTCGTGTACAGTATGCAATGGAGACAGAAGCATATAGAGAAACGTGTAAAAGGCACTCGCGTTGAAGAAAGAACCACATGCGGACCTTGCCCACGAAGTTATCGGTGTGCGGCACATTACCTTGAGCTCGGTGAGAGTGGTACGAGGTGCGAGAGAATCAGTCATACAGCATGCACGTGGTACATTTTCACGGGTACACGTGGTGCTGAAGCGTGCTATCTTTTACAGTCCGTGTGTGGATGTTTTTTTTGCGAATGTTCAACATTTTTTCCCATCCAGATGGGTCCCGAGGCTTTGTCGACAAGTTAAAAATGGAAGATGATTGGGAGAGAAATGACTGAGAACACATTTCACGCGTGTGGACTCTTCGAGAGGTATAATACCTGAGGACTGGACCTTGCATGAGCGTTGCACATTGTGCGATGCCTGAATGCCCTTAAAATACCTCTATTTTCGTCCGGAAGGAAAATTAGACGCTGGATAGTGGGCTGAACCTGACGTGCAGAACTGACGGAATGTTAATTTAGTGGATTTCTCAAAAATAGCATTCCAGAGACGCTCTCGAGTGCCAACTGGGCTGCAAATTTGCAGCCCAGTTGGAAGGCATTAAGTCAGAGCAACTGCAGCCCACTCCACGGCAGACGTGCAGAGAGCACATGCTTGCCGCAACCCCTTTTCACGCTACCCTTAGGATGTGCGCGCAGAATTAATTCAACCTGATACCAACGATAACTGGTATCATAATATTGGAGTCTATCATACTGGGAGTCGTACGGTGGTGTGTGGCTGTTCCCGCTCGCTGTTCAAAAAAATGAGCAAGTTGGGGCCTCCTCTTGCAACCATGCGGAGTGCTTCCTTGCATTTTTTTATAAAGAACAAAGCACTGGGTTACGGCCCATTCTCTACTAGCTCAAAGCGCGAAACACAGCGCATTGTCCCATTACATTACATTTTATGGTCGCTTACAAAATGTCAACGTCAGTACATTAGCCTGGATAGACGAGGGCAGCCTGTTGCCTCAAGAACGGGCGTGATCGTGCGGAATGTCGCAACGTGGGTATTAACAAGGGAGCCAGGGCAAGGCGTACATGAGCTGATTTCGAAGCAGAAGTTCGTATCGCGCCCGTCATCGGCAACACTGTCGGATGGCAAGGGCGCTCACATAGCGGAGGGTGAACATCGCCTTCTCTATACTGAAGTCGGTAGACTACTGAGAGTACAAAAAAACGTTGACGGATGTTGTGCAAGCAGCGGTACACTACCCTTGGTAAATTGTGCGGGGACCAGCACCATTTCGACGCTCAATGCTGACTCGTTGCCCTCATTCAACTCGAGGAACGGGCGCCTGCAACGAATCCGCTTTCCCTCCCCGCACATCGTGTTGTCCGCAACGCCTGGCTTGCAATGCATAAGTTACCCTCAAACATTTGCAAATCCAATACTGTACAGTATACAACTAGTTACAGTACATCCCTTCCATCCACGCATGCTCGATGCGTGCAGAGCTGTACACTCTCCCTTGCTGGACCACTCAGGCCGGTCATGCACACAGTGTACAGTACACAGTTGCCTCTCTTGCCATGCCCTTTTGGCTCAGTCCAGCTAATCCCACGAACAGGTAACATAAAGTTATGTACAAGTACCCTCGGGTATCTCACTTGTCCGGATCACTTCGCATGTTTCCCTTGATGGAGTCGTACAGTACGTAGGACCGTTCCCATACTCCCAGCTCACACATCTCGTTGGCATTCTTCCCAAACTTCCTAATACGAAATGTGTATGGACAACCATACACATTTCGTATTAGGAAGTTTGCCTTTCCATTCCGAAAAGTGAGGAAGGGGAGCGACCCCTCTGTATCCATGCTGACTGTAACATGCACTGTTTCCTCTAACGTCCCGCTAAAGAGTACAGTACTGTTCTGTTGATCCTGAATGCGTCGTCATCCGGTCCATGAACCAGTGAGACATATCGCTCCACCTCCATCTCTACCCAACTGTTTCAGAATTGTTCCAGTCCCCCTCACCCAGTCTGTGCTCGTCTGACGGATGATCAACAAGTGCTTAAGTGTATCATTACTGTTTCGCTCGCAAAGCACATCGCTACTTCTTCGAAGTTTAGTCACCACCCCCCTTCCTTCACTGCTCAACGATGCTTCCACTGTAAAACCGGAGCATCCTGTTGCAAATACTCCATCCTTCTTTTCCGAAGGCTATCTTTCGTATCTCACATCCCCCTCAGTGCGAGGGTCTTCGCCTGTCGTCCAATACTATATAAGTTCTTCCTGCAGCGCCGGTACTCTGTTCTTCTCATCCTCACACTCACAATCTACAGCCTAACAACAACTAACACTTTCAACTCACTAACAAAGCCTCAAAATGGTCGCCAAGTTCATCGCCTGCTTCTTCGCCCTCTTCACCGTCTCTTACGCTGCCGCAGCTGTTGAACGCGTCAAGGTCCTTCCGTTTGGAGACGAAGGCACCCCAACACCTTCGCCTAAGAAGATCCGCCAAATCACCATGCTATCCCACCAGGAAATGGCCAACATGTCCCTTACATCTTCCGAGACTGGATTCGGCCGCATCGCCCGTGTTGGTGTCAGTGTCACCCGCGGCGCCTCCGCCACTGCCAGTTTCGATATCGAAGTCACTGCCGTCGACGCTGAGACTCTTGACAGGAACGACGAGAGCTTCTTCAGTACCCTTAGCGAGTCTGAGCAGGCCGAATTTTTGGAATTGAAGGAGAGCTTTGAGGGTGGTCTTGACGTCCCCATGATTGAGTTCACTGGTGCTGATATTCTTGAAGACCTTTCTAAGGAGGAGCTCGTTGAAAAGAGAGAGAGCAGCGAGGAGTTCAGGAAGAGGGAGCAAGCTTTGACCAGTATCCTCGAGACTGTCGCCGACACTCGCATCCGTATCAACGGTACGCTCACTGCCACTGGAGTGAGCCAAATCCCGACCGTGGCGTTTGCATTCGTCAGGCTCGCTAGAATTGAATTTGAGGACGGGTCGACTCAGTTGGTCGTGTCTAACAAGAACGAAGATATTATCGCTGCTGATGAGGACGGCGACGCTGTTGGCACTTCTGATCAGGAGAGTGACATCCTTTGTGTGTCTGGGTTCATCTGCTAAGGTTTTGAATTGCGGTCCATTGAACTCCAATGAGGCTTTCATGACACTCTAATATGGCTGCCATAGCGCCTGGTCGTCATACTGTACGTCTGTGTGGAGTTGCTGCACAATTTTAATAAAAAACTTTAACTGATACTCTATCGTGTTCTTCGGCCTCTTCAGTTTCACTCTTCAGTCAAGCCCTATCACAGGAGTGAGAACTCTATCTTACGTCAAACACCTGAAACGAAGTTTCGGCACAAATAGGAACTCTATAAGCACTGTAGCCATTTTTGCGAAAAGGATGGTACTCTCCTTTGGTTCAATTTTAAACACGGATGAAAATTTAGAACACCAACACACACAATATGCAATATGCACGTCTACAGCATTATTAAACAGAGCAGATAGGAATATTCTTCGCAATGCGCATCCAAAGGTGACAATCAATGTCTGCTGAATCCAGCTTTGTTTTTCTCTGGCAGAAGCATAAATTTATTCTCTGCCTCTGGTAACTCTGACTTGAGCCGCAAAGAGGCATAATATGTTAATACGAATTCATTCCTTTACTTTTTTTGTTTGACATTCGAAGCTTGTACAGAAAGAGTAGTCACAATATGAATCCATCATAATCAAGTAATAGATTGTCTGCAGAAGTGATGACACACCCTTGACGTGAAAGAACAGCCAAGAGGTATGGCTATCATCTTGCAGTATAATGGGACACTATTGCTTCCGTGAGATGATATCTTCATCCAAGTAACAGTTGGTGAAAGTGACTAGTGTAGGGAAGATGTTGTGGTACCTTTTATGCACTGTTCTTACTGTACTGTATCGTTGCCTCTTGGACAATTTATTACGCCGGAGAATTAGTTTCCATGACAACTGCAGAAGGGTTGTCCTGTAGCTGACTGCATGCCTAAGCACACAAATCTACAGCTTGGGAGTGCTAAGCTGCTAGATAAATAGATACGAGAAGTAAAGAGGATAGTTCGCAGTCGAGAAAGATAAGTTATCGTCTCAGGTCACAAGACTACACATTGGAATCTCTGCGAGCGGTATAATATGCATCCCGAAAGAGTCTGATGGAACGATATGGTTGCATTACAACAACTCCATTTCTATCCTGCCAGTTCCTTTTTATTGACTAGCCATGAACGATCAATTGCTAAGTTTATGAAGCAGTGTGAAAGAGTCTCTACCTCTGTCTCAAATGTTCACGGAACTGCCGACTTCCCTTCCTCGGAAACCCAAAAAGCTTTCTTTAGAGTTTGTAGCAACGTGTTAGTGAGAAAGAGCTTTCTAGTGAAGTGGCTCCGCATTTATCGGGTTGAGTACTCGATACTACACAACACTCCACATACTCTGAGTGGCCTGTTGTTGCTGAGCTTGATTTGTCAATATCTCCTGCGCAGTTGCAGGGCAAATAAGGTGGACAGGTGTTGCTGAGTACAAACTGCAAGAGAAAAAGAGGCATTTCAGTTTATATCACTTTCGCGGCTCCGGTGGGGAGGGGTAACAAGGTGGAACATGAAAATCGAACAGACATCGCTGAGAAGAAACTTCTCCAGTCAACCTAGAGGCACACTCGAGCCTAACGGCCCGAAACTCTCTAACCGACTATGATGAAGATATTTGTACGTTAAGCTGTCAAAATATCCTCTTTGAAGCAGCTGAAGCAGCGATGACGGAAAAGAATTGCAGGCTTGATGTTGCTCTCACGGGTGGCTACAAGGGCTTGCCTGACGATTTTACCCAAATTAGCCTCGCAGATTAATTCCGCATTCGCGGTAGGTGCGCACCTCCACGCAAAATCGAAGAGGGCACAAGGGTAGACAAGCATTTAACCGTAGACGATTTAAACGCGTCACAAGTCGGTCAGTTCGACTACTGCAGTAGTACCTATCATTGCAGAGTTTTGTTAGCACACAAATGCTACTGTACACACTGCAGTTAATGCATCTGGCAAATGCTCAACGGAACTGGGTGGAGGAAGCAGTTTGTAGGGTGCTGGATAGTACCGAATAAGAGAAGTAAGGCACGAGAATAGCGTAAACTGGGATGTCGATTAGAAGTGGTTCACTAACACGAAGCCCGACTGTCCGCGACCTACGCTCGCCAGAAAATGGGAATCAAAGAAGAGGACAAGCTAACAATAAGTTGGCAACGGGCGGCTTATCCACCCGGTTTTCCCTCCCAGTACCCTTTACGATACTCTACGGTACATCGCGTTGCCTGCCACGCATGGCTTGCAGCTACTGCACAGTCAGAAAATTCTCCGGAATTTTTCAAATGCTGTACATCGCTTCGATCCACGCATGCCCCATGCGTACAATACAGTACATCGCCCCCGTTGCCACACTATCCAGGCTGGTCATGTACGGTTGACGCCTCCCATGCCAAGCCCGTAAAGCTAAGTCCAGCCACAGTAATCCCATACAGCTAAAACATATCCGGACCAAGAGTCGGCAGATCGCACCGCCGTATCTGCCTCACACAGATCACATGCAGTACCCTTAGGGTACCACGTAATTTGGCTTCTATTCTGCGATAAGGAGGGAGAGCAACCTTTCTGTTAATAATGGATGTAAATGACACCTTCTCTTCGCAAGCACTGTTTCCTCAAATTTCTGTTCTGTTGCTCCCAACCGGCACCGTCATCCATTCAACAAACCGTTGAGGCATATCCCTCAGCCTCCATCTCTACCCGACTCTTTGGGAAGTATTCCGCGTCTCCCTCAGCCAGTCTGTGGTTGTGTGACGGTTGACCAACAAGTTTTTTAGTGCACCATTCTTGTTTCGTTCGCAAAGCACATTGTTACTTCTTTCAAAGTATTGTTATCAGCCTTCTTCCTTCTGTGCGCCATGATATATTCACTTTAAAATATTGAGCACCTTGTTGCAAACTCTATCCTCCTTTGCTGAATCCTATCTTTCGTAGCTCATGTCCTCCTCCGTGCGAGGGTCTCCACCTGTCGTCAAGTTCTATATAAGGTCTTCTTGCAGCGCCGGTACTCTGTCCTTCCAATCTTCACACTCACACTCTACAGCCTAACACCAACCAACACTTTCAACACACTAACAAAGCCTCAAAATGGTCGCCAAGTTCATCGCCTGCTTCTTCGCCCTCTTTGTCGTCTCTTACGCTGCCACGACTGTCAAACACGTCAATGAACTTCCGATTGAAGGAATTGATTTCCTGGCCGTCACCCCGAGTCCGAGTGCTGGGCCCAAGACGATCCGCCGAATCACAAAGGTGTCTCGTCAGGAGATGGCAAGCATGGCCCTTGCATCTTCCGAGACTGGATTCGGCCGCATCGCCGAAGCTGGTATCAGCGTCACCCGCGGCGCCTCCGCCACTGCCAGTTTCGATATCGAAGTCACTGCCGTCGACGCTGAGACTCTCGACAGGAACGACGAGAGCTTCTTCAGTACCCTTAGCGAGTCTGAGCAGGCCGAATTTTTGGAATTGAAGGAGAGCTTTGAGGGTGGTCTTGACGTCCCCATGATTGAGTTCACTGGTGCTGATATTCTTGAAGACCTTTCTAAGGAGGAGCTCGTTGAAAAGAGAGAGAGCAGCGAGGAATTCAGGAAGAGGGAGCAAGCTTTGACTAATATCCTCGAGACTGTCGCCGACACTCGCATCCGTATCACAGGTACGCTCACTGCCACTGGAGTGAGCCAAATCCCGACCGTGGCGTTTGCATTCGTCAGGCTCGCTAGAATTGAATTTGAGGACGGGTCGACTCAGTTGGTCGTGTCTAACAAGAACGAAGATATTATCGCTGCTGATGAGGACGGTGACGCTGTTGGCACTTCTGATCAGGAGAGTGACATCCTTTGTGTGTCTGGGTTCATCTGCTAAGGTTTTGAATTGCGGTCCATTGAACTCCAATGAGGCTGTCATGACACTCTAATACGGCTGCCATTGTACCTGTCGCTGCCATAGGGCTGGGTAGAGTTGTTGCGCAATCCTAATAAAGAGAAACTCTAACTGATACAGATGTCTGATTGATAAATTGTCGATGCAACGAACATACTGAGAACGAACATGCTGACAGTCACCTCGTAGTCAGAGCTTGGGGATTGTCTTCTATGACCTCGTCGCTTACAGATTTCGACACTGTCTCCGAACAAGTTGTCAATTGCAGATTTGGGGACTGTCTTCATCAAGCCGGACGACAGTACCCTTCGAAGAGTACCTAAATTTCTAGGGTGTTCAATGCGCACGAGAGGCGCGCTCGCTTGCAGCGAACGCTATACGTTTCGAACTTCCGATCCGGCGAGGGAGCCTCTGCCCCATTGCCGACGGAGAATAAACTCGTTTAGTTTTTTGCTCGTTGCTCTTTCCCACTTTCTTTCTCGAAAATGTCATCGTAGAGGTAATCTCGAGATTCCCATTGAGTGAGTTTGTCTTACTTGATAGGCGAAAGCGGATTTTATAAGGACGTTTCGTCAGTGCGGCGACGGTACTACAATTTCGGTGATTCCTCAGGAGTATCTGGTGGTCATGTCAATTTGCTTGCTGCTCCGTGGTTGGCGGCGATGAGAGTAGGCTTGATCCTTGGTTTGATACCACTCCATAGCACCTATTATGCGCTGACTTCCCTATTGGTGTTGTCTTGCGTGTATCAAAAGACTGCATGCGTGAGTAGTTGCAGTGACTACGCCTTGCGGAATTTGCATTCTAAGAATTTGAGACTGAACCATCAAATCGTGTCTTCAAGTTCAATTGTTTAAAAAGATTATCTGGAGCGGGGCTCGACGGGGCGTGATGAGATGGCGTGAGCGGGCTGTTCGGTGCAGATGGGCCAGCGGAGACAGTGCCATCGGCAGTGGTGGCGTGGACCGTGAACAGAGATTGTCTCAGAGCTAGGACCAGGGTTATTGTTAGGTGTCGGCGCGGTTCTCGTCAGTTTCCATACTGCTCGGGCGGCAGGAGAGTGTGATCATGTGCTCGCCATTTAGGAATATGGCCCAGGCTGGAATCTGTGGAAACTGTCAAGGATACAGCTCTGCAT